CTCCCTCGCGGGCGCCTTCAGCTCTCCTCCCTTCCCTTCCCCGGACGCCTCTTCCTTCTCTTCCCCACGCACTGTCGCCCCTCCTCTTCCTCCAGAGGCGGCTGCGGTGGCGCTCGCAGTCCGCGCCCTCCACCCTCGGGCGCCTGTGCCTCCCTCGTCTGGGCTCGCGCGCTTCAGGTGACTCAGGCAGATCCCCGAAGTGGGCGCCCGACCGAACGGCAAGGAGTCTTCGTAATAGCAGGCCTCGGTCCCCGCGGTCAGACGACTTATCTCGGCGCGGGCGAGCGGGCGGAAATGATTGACTCATTATCTGTACCCGGGGTAGGACGCCGCGCTGTGCAGGGGCTCGCCCCCCCCCCCTCGGCGCTCGCTCTCTTCCGCTCGGCAGCCTGCGCCGGAGTGCATAACATCCCCACCTCGGCGTTCTCTTTGCAGCCTTCGTGCCCACTCCGAATGACTTAGGGCAAGGGAACGTGTGGCTAAACCGCGTTGACACTTTTTCTGTCCTGTTCGGCAGGTTAAATTTACAAGAATAGGAGAGGCGATCTTTATTCCAAAGATAGCCCGCCGAAAGCAAATGCCAGACTCTGGTTTTTCACCTAATGGGAGGCAGAGTAGACAAGTGCGAATTCTAGTCAGTACCCCCACGAAAATCCTTTCCTATCGCGTGCGTTCTGAAACAGAACTCACTACCTCCCCTCCCTGAAATGTGTACACCAAATCATTCACTGGAGACGCTTTATCAACCAACAGTTCTGTAAGCGATTACAATGTTCCAGGTGCACATATGACATACGTTTTTCACAACACATGTTTCCATGTAAATGTGTGATGATGGTAATAGTACCAGGAAACTTCAAAGTGATTCTTTAAAACCTTCAAACTGAGTGCAGTACTTAAGTAAGTTTGTTTGGCCAGCCAGCTGTAGGAGTCTTAACCCTCTGCAAGCAGCTAAATAGGCCTTTCCAATAACTTCTGATAGAAAACTGTGCCATTTGAGAGCCTAACCCACAGATAAGCATTATTCCAATGTCCATCCTCCAGGTCCAAAATACTTTATAAATAACGTCTAGACAGTTTGAAAGGTTCATTTCCTACCAAAATCAGCAAGTGAGTCTGCAGGAGAGAAAGAGGCAAAGGGGAGGAAAGTCTGGAGAGTGAATTAGGGCCCTGCAAAAGAGCCTAATGCACAAAAAGACTAAACCTAGCCAGGCATAGTGTCTGAGGCCCCAGAAGCCCAGAATCCCATACACTGAGGTAAGAGGATTGAGAGTCTAAAACCAACCTGGATTACATGATATGAGGCCAGGCTGTAGCAAGAGTCTGTCTCATAAACAAAACAAGGGCCAGTGTACTGACTTAAATAAGAATGACCTCTATCGTGTGGAACTGGTGGGGGTGGGGTGGGAAGAATTAGGAGGCGTGGCCTTACTGGAGGTTTCAAAAAGCTCAAACCAATCCCAGCCTCTCTCTGTCTCTGTCTCTGTGTATGTCATGCCTCTCTCTCTCTCTCTCTCACATATGTTTGTGAATTAAGATGTAAACTCTCGTCTACTGCCCTAGCGCCCTGCCCACCTGTCTGCCTCCATGCTAAATGCCTTGATGATGGACTAACCCTCTGAACCTGTAAACACGCCTCCAGGTAAATGTTCTTTTAGAAGTTGCCTTGGTCAATGTATTACAGCAATGGAGTCATAACTAAGCCAGCTAGATTGCTTGGTGGAGAATAGTGCCCACCTCCAAACCTGATGGCCTAGGCCCCACAAGGGAGAAAGAGGCAGACCATTCCTTCAAGTTGTGTTCAAACCTTCATGCACACTCATGCCTGTTTGCACACACACACACTGAATAGTATAAAAATCAACTGAACATCCCCTCCAAATAGAGGTCAAAGAGTTCAACATAGACAATCTAGATACCTGGTGAGCGCTTCCGAGAGAAGGTAAATAGGGGATGAAAATATCCATCCACAGACACGCTTGTGCATGAGTGTTCCTAGCAGCATTCCCTACTGCAGCCCCACGTGGAGTCAACCCAGATAGCCACCAGCTGTTGGAAAGTGCGCACAGCGCCTGTGTCTACACAATGCAGAATTAATTCACCAGGGAAAAGGGTGCAGCCCAGCATGCACTACAGAACTCACGCTCCCAGGAGGGCGGACACAAAGGTCACATGCAATACCACCCGTCTGTCCAGACGACATGTCCAGAGCAGGAAAACCCGTAGCGACGGGTGACTGGTGATTGTGGAGTGGACAGGGCCCAGGTGTAAAGAGCCTCGTAGGCCCTGCTTGGGTTGTAGGTGCCACCCCCACGCTATTGCAGGCCCCTGGAGTATGGTCGTAATATGATCTAATGTGAGATTTCTGTCAAGCATCTGTTTGGAGCATGAGAGTCCTGTAGTGATGGAGGAGGGTTATCTGTCTATTGTGTTATTTTCATTGGTCAATAAAGAGACTGCCTTGGCCCCTTGATAGGACAGAAAATTAGGTAGGCGGAGTAAACAGAACAAAATGCTGGGAAGAGGGCTATGAGCCAGACGCCATGGAGTCAGCCACCAGGTCAGACATGCTGAATCTTTCCCGGTAAGCCACACCTCGTGGTGTGATATAGATTATTAGAAATGGGTTAATCAAGATGTGAGAGTTAGCCAGTAACTAACTCTGTAGAGATAATGGGCCAGGCAGTATTTAAATGAATACAACTTATGTGTTATTATTTCTGGGGTTAAGCTAGCTGTGCAGGAGCCGGGTGAGGCGAAAAGCAGGCCTGCCTGCAGCTCGTCACTACACTGTAGGAAAGCTATTAGGAAAGAAATGGCAGAACTTCCTCCAAGGTGACACTGGAGACAGAACTGCATCTTACGGGAAGTTCCTGGGACTTCGAAAATGTCTGAGTATTGGAAATGAGGAAAGTGTCCAAATGAACCACGGACAGTGCCTGGCGATTTCCACCATAGAGATTTCCAGGTGCTGCCTAGGGTCGTGTCTGGGTCCATGGCCCTGCAGAGGCCAGGGTCTGGGGAAGTGTCCCTGGCTCTAGATGCCACCAAGGACTCTGTGATTGCCGGGAGTCTGGTCTGCCACCTGGGATCATGCAGTTGCCGGGGGCATGCAGTTGCCGGGGCCATGGTGACGTCTGGGCCCAAGCTGCTGCTGAGGACCATGCCTGGGTCTGTGGTCGAACAGCAGCTGGGGTCTGTGATGATGTCCATGGCTGGTGTTTGCAAGGAACCATTGGAACCATGCTGTGCTGAGCCAGCCCACCCTTCACTGGCTGGTCCTGCCCCTCACTGTATATTGCAGCAGGCAAGCTGGCCCTACCCCTCAGGTGAGAGCTCATCCCTGCACTGTACCCAGCCCCACTCCCACCCCGCACATGGGTGTGGACGTCATCTGGACAGCACACTAGAGCTGGACTTGTGGTCAGGGACACAGACAGGTGAGCCATCCCCTGAGGCCATAAAAGCAGGAGAATTGACCCACCTCCTCCCATCATGTGGTAGCATGAATGAGGGAAAGATGACTCTCCCTCCCCCTTCCCCTCCTCTCTCCCTCCCCCTCCCATTACCATCTGCAGCAGGCGAGAGAGAGCTGGCCCTGTGGTCACAAGAGTAGGAGAGCTAGCCCAGACCCTCACCAGCTGCAGTGCACTGTGGGGATGCAGATGAGCCAGCCCTGAGGGCAGGAGAGCAGGAGAAATGACCTCACGACCCCCCCCCCATATGCCCCCTACAGCAGTTGGGACATAGGGCCTGCACCTTGCCTGGGCAGAACAGTAGAGCTGGCGCTGGCAGTATGAATGCAGGGGACCTGGGTCTGAGGGCCCCAAAGCAGGACAACTGTTCCAGCTCCTTGCAGCAGGCTGCGCTGGGTGAGCTAGCTGTAGTGCTGGAGAGATCACCTGGTTAGTGACCATGAGGGAAAGCCAGCCAGCTGACCAACCCACCTGCCGCCCAGGCCCAGAACCAGGGCTGTGAGTTAGCCCACCTCAACATCCACCTCATCTACGAACAGTGGAGCATGTGAAGGTGACAAACGTACAGATCCTAAACAGCAGGAGCTCCATGATACAGGGCAGCAGGGTAGCCAAGAGGAGCCCCAGTGAGAGCCCAGAATCAACAGTGTAACAGAAGTCAGAGGCCTTGAACCAGACCAATGACTCACAGCATGAACTCTTACAACTGAAGCTGTGTGGACTAAAGGGTATACGGTGTGACTCACCAGGCCACGCCACAGCTTCCATGGCAAAATTCTTTTTTTTTTTTTTTGGTTTGTTTTGGTTTGGGTCCTTTGTTTTGTTTGGTTTTGTTTTGCGGAGAGGTTGGAAGGGCAGAGGGTGAATAAAAGGGGACAGGGAGATGAGTGGGATCAGCTGGCATGATGAGAAGTCCACAGAGAGTCAATAAAAGTTTAAAAACAAAGATGAACCCACACTCCTGGCATAATGGTAAGATAGGCAGATGGAAACCTGGTTTACTGAAAGAAGCCAATGGGCTAGTCTAAGCAGTACTGTGGGGGACAGGGCCAGTTTGGGAGTGTGATTTGTGAAGTGGAGGTGTCTTGGGAACATTCCAGCATATCAGCACAT